TAAACCAATTTTACCGATTTTTTCACTTTACGTGATATTTTGTTTCTCAAGATTCGGCGGGAAATGTTCAATATTCACATTTCAGTTAGTGTACAATTATTGTATATTTTCTATTCAATTAGATTCATTGAAATGATTATCAACATTTCTAACACATGTGTTTCACCAACTATTACAAATATCCATATATATTTATTGTATTGAAGAAGGAATTTTATATGTTACTGAACGTATCAATCAATAAAAACGAATTTATCTATTCTTTCACTTTACAAAACGCTAAATGCTTACACCAAATTCTCTTTCTCAAGATTTATAGTTCTGAAAGAGAGTTTTTAATTTCACTGGTCTTAACAGTCAGTAAAAGGTATTTATTGATTCGTTTGCTATACCCAACGATACAAAACTGTAAATGTACATTCATAGCATTCTATTTCTTAAGAATTGATGGATCAAATAATGCAAATTCACATAAAACATTTAGGACACTCGGGAATGTGATTGGATTTGTGATGCTCACTGATTCTCCTCTTCATATGAAAAATCACCAGAATATACAATATCCATACAGTCTGTGACTAAAACTATAAATCAGTCTTATAATGTTCATAACATGAAACAAGAGAAATCTTACATGTTCAGTGTATTTGTGTAGAAGAATAATGTATAAAGAAGCTTCAAGTTAATTCGTTATAGTTAATGGTTAGTCTTTTATGTACTGAACCTAATTTATCATTAGGTTCATGTTTCATGACCAGAAGAGTACATATTTTCAAGAAGCAAGATGAGATGGAATAAAACTTTGTATGTAAGTTATGTTTGACCTATCATTGAGGTTCTATCTATCCTACTGACCTTTTACCATTAGTCATATGACCATCAATGACCATAACTTGAGAAACAACCTGTTCTGTCACTTAATATTTGAACATAATGTAAAACAAGAACTAATATATTTCGTCTGATATATAATAATACAGAACACCATTTGAAACTATAAGAATTAGATTCTTCTAACATAGATACTGCGGATTGTTAAAAGCTATAATATTTAAGGAAAATTAGAGTTATTCACCGTACTAACGATAAGATTTTTTAAATAGGATGCTCTATTTATTTATGTTTTGTAAAAGATTATAATCTCTAGTTACTTTAGTGCTGAATGAAAATGGAATGTAATTACATTTTTGACGATTTCTATAAAAGCAGAGTTAACAATATCAGGCTCTTCGACGATATAAAGGACGGGAAAAGCGTTAAATACTGTGATATTACATCATTCTATCATTGGAACAATAAGTACTGTGAATACCATAGTAGGCATTTTCAATACGGTGTATCAAAACGTGAGTTCTGTGATCTCAGGACGAAAGGTATGGTCTACAAGAAAAGACACATCTATTATTTTACATGAAATCAATTTGTAAAGCACGTTCATGTAAATTTACATAAAAATCTATCACTGGTGCCAATTCATGGATTATGACGTCATTATCTCTACTCTTTCTCCCTATCGCTTGAGACAGCCAGTCAGCACGTGTATTTAGAGTGCAACCTTAATTACTTATTTAACTGCCGTACATGATGAGAATCCGCCTCTTTGTATATTAGTTCTTGCTGAAGGTAGGATGGAAGACACGTGCAACAAAGATGCAACACAAAAGAACACTTTGAACACATATTCGAGAAGAAAGGTGAGCGTTTATATACTAATATATATTAAAATTTTACTGGAAACATTTCTGACAGTCAATAGTTAACTAAACAACGTGAAACAAACCCAAACTGAATCATACATTAATGATCGAACAGTACTGTCCATGATTATCTATCCAGTTTAAAGCAAAATGCGTATAATGATAGAAGTAATTACTTTGTTTACTTAGGGTAAGGTTGTCGGAGCTGGTTTCCTTTCAGTGGGGTGATTTGTGCTTGTATTCACTTATTTTTATATATACTATGTTTTCATCGTAAAAAAATGGCGCTTGCGATAAGAGTCGTAGCGCAGTATGTGTAGGCCTCCCCTGCGAATTTTCCCATCGGGTTTTCTATATATCCGATGTGGGTGTAGTTTTTACGCCTCTATTTAAGATTATGTAGTTTATGTTACCCGTTGTAACTCGTAAAACGTACAGAAAAACATTGAAGATTAAGAAAGAGCGAATGCCATGTCTGACTAGACGGCTATAGATAGTTTCAATCACGTTGTTGAAATGATAGAGTGTGATTGTGTATTTATGAAAACAACAACAATACTGCATCAGTTAATCTGACCTAATAACGACCTTGCCCATGCAGCGTAATTAATTTACTCTTTCCATCCACTCTGAAAATACTTACAAATGAACTTGGTATGTAATACGTTAACATATCTTCCACTCCTTGCAGTTAAGTTTATTCGGGCTTTCTTCCTTTAACTATAGCTTTGTGGATAAGACGTGCTTGTTTTACTTATTGGTCCCTTTGTGGGTAGAAAATATCGGGGCCGAAACTATGTCAGTCGTATATTAGTGAATGATACTGTGTTTGAGAATGAAACTCGTGGCTTTAAGACTACAATCATACTCGCAGGGTTTCAATCCTAAGGTGACTTTGTTACAAGTGTGGATATCCGTCAATTAATATAGGCATAGTATACAGCGTGTCCAATCACTGGACGTCTTTCTTACGTTAATTAATACAGACGTTTTGTCAATACACGCCAACAAACCACAGCTAGTAAGAAAGTGACACTTAATACTAACCAACATTATCGGAACAGACCTATACTTTACAGAACCAAGAAGAGTCTTTAAGATAAATGGTGGTCGTTTTCCTTTCTAAAACAGTGTTAATATCTTCATTTATAGTAACGCTATGGAAACTAAATTAACAGGTTCTTGTAATCACCCGCATGCAATCGGTACAGCCGTATCGAGCATCATTATTTACGCTAATATCATATGACACTGAACTTTCTTTAATTAGTATGATTTCATAAAATTTAACAAATTTGTGCATAAAAGTAACGAATAATAACCGTCCACCCGTATGATTCTTTTGAAAAGTTGAACTAGAAACTGCTAATCTAGTTTATTGGCCTAACCAATACTTATGTATCTGCACGTGGTTTCCCCCAATAGTTTTGTTACTCTAAATCAGCCATCTTTAATCCGAAGGATAAAAACGACCCACCTTCATTCTCAGGTGAAGCTGTAGTAAAACTTTCAGGCCGATAGCTCGCGTGTCGTTTTGCGTACGTGTGGGCCTTTTGATCAAAATTGAGTGGTTTTTGTTGAATAACTTTGCACACGTGATTCATGTTTAGACCAACTTTGATTCTTAATTGTAGATTTTAAACATCTGTCAGTGTACTAAATTTGAAAAACAAATCCATATAAGTTAAATAAGTTTTTCTATCAAATAAAGTTTCAGTACTTCCAGTGCGAAGAAAAAAAAAGAAGAAGAAATCCAATCAAACTTGGAGATTTTATATCTTGTGTATTTCTTAATAGAACGCTTTGAAACTTGGTATGTTAAGTAACGGTCCAGGAGAACATATTCACTGAAAATATGTGATAGTTTGGATTACCACAGTCTGGGCTACAGAAGGTGGAAAATCGCTAAACTATCACTCCTGTTAATAACACACAGCGTGTCCTGCAAGTTGTTTTGTCTTGCACGTTTCAGGTAGAGGTAATTACAGTCTAACTTTACAAGAATGATTAGTTGACACACCTTACAAACAGAGTTTTGTTTGCCATATATACGATATCATAATGTTTGATAAATCTGGTTAAACGTTTGAAATTATGCAAATATTTGAATTTACTAGTAGGAAAACAAAACATTTCAGGCTCTTCAAGTAATCTTTAATCGTGTTATAAATTATTTATTTACTAGATAATTCGGGCTTGTCCTAGTAATCAGCGTGCCGATCTGCGGAACGGAATATCCATAGTTCGAATATCCATTTGAAAAGAAATTCATTAAAAAAAAATTCTTTACATTTTAAAACTACGTCTTTGTATGGTCGTTATGCTTCCGTGCGTTAGGTTTTTCTCGTACTTATGAATTAATCAGATTGCCCCCCCCCCCCAGTGGCACAGCGGTATGCCGGCGGACTTACAACGCTAGAATCCGGGTTTCGATACCTGTGATGGGCAGAGCACAGATAGCCCATTGTGTAGCTTTGTGATTAATTACAAACAAACTAATCAGAGTTCTCGAACAAATACTGTTTCAAACAAGTTTAATACAGTTGATTAATTGGGTTAAGGTACATATATTTTTTGTAGTAAATGGTAGGTCGTAACTCATATTATCTTGTATTTTCAAACCTCAGTTTTCTCTATTTTACCTGAATGTTATACTTAGCTAGAGCTGAAGCTCAGTGTAAGGTTTGAGCTCTTTATTATATTTTGTATAATTAATATCCGGCTGATGCATGATATTTAAGGTTAAGTGTTATCCTCGGAAAAGTACTCATTAACTGTGACAAACTATTATGGTCAAGAACATATTAAATTTATAAAACTTATCTGAATAATGATCTTATACCCCAATATTCTTCAATAGATATTAAATAAATATAGTTTGCCTTTTACAGTAATTATAGAATTCTGTGTTTGCTGTTGGACTAGCGGTAAGTTTACAGATTTACATTGCCAGAAACCGGGGTTTAACTTCCCGCGGTACCTCTCAGTGGCACAGCGGTATGTCTGCGGACTTAAAACGCTAGAAACGTGGTGGGCATAATACAGATAGCCCATTGTGTAGGTTTATGCTCAATTACAAACAAATAAGCAAACTCCCCGCGGTGGATGTAATCCAGATAGCCCATTGTTTAGCTTTATAATAGCTGTGGTTTTAATTTTGATTTTGAATAAATATGTTTCCGTACGTTTAATGTGTTAATGAAAGATAGCTACAGATTGTTAGCTAGCCTTCTTGGATTGTTGTAACTTATTTTAGTCTTTTTACTTTAAATTGGATCTTAGATATAAAACTATACGTTACAGCCGAATAACGTATGATGGACGAAGGAGACCAGAAAACCTCTGATAATCTTCTAAAGGATGAAGTCGTCGATCATGACGATGAATGCGATGGAGAATGTTACTTTGATGAAAAATACCAGACAACCTCTGATCATCTTCTAAAGGATGAAGTAATCGATCATGATAATAAATGCGATGGCGAATGTTACTTTGATGAAAAACACCAGACAACCTCTGATCATCTTCAAAAGGCTGAAAGCATCGATTATGATGACAAATGCGATGCAACATGTTACTCTGATGAAAAACACCAGACAACCTCTGATCATGTTCTAAAGGCTGAAGTTTTTTCATCAGAGTAACATGCTCCATCGCATTTATCATCATGATCGATTAACCAGACAACCTCTGATTGTCTTCAGCAAGATGAAGACGAGGATCATAATGATTATTACTTTGAAGAAAAATTGCTAGGCTGTTTTTTACCTGAGGAAGAACACAAATTCACATTCTTAAAAAAGCTAGGCATGGTGGTCGGAATGATGCTGTTTGTGATAGATTTTGTGCTCGACATCGTTGTTTGTTATCAGTACTACAGAAAAGGAGATAAAGCTTATTTTGGAATAACAGTAGCAATAATTATTTCATCATCACTTCTACATACGTTATGGAGTCTCTTTTGGTACTTGAAATTCGAAAAGGGATTTGTAAGCGTCACTAGATGGATATTTCGTGTGATTTTTTTAGTACTTCCACTGTCTCCAGTTTTAAGGTAAGCAAAAATCCACTTTTAATCTGAAGGTATGAAAACATGAGTGTTTGGGAAATAAGATTACTTTAGTTGTTTAACCAAGAGTGAATTCAAGAAAGCAGTGTATCTAGTGATCTAGTATAGTAATATATCATTTTAAGGTTCAATTTTTGTGCAAGATCTTATGAAAGCTGTTTTTACTAATACAGATAAAATGTTATTAGTGTTTGTTTAGTTAAGAAGATAAAAAGAAAGTTATCAATCTTCCAATAAGGATTTAAATTCAACTAATAACATGCTTTTTGTAAATCCTATTACAAAGATTTACTCAAATTATTTCAATTTTTCTAACTGTGCTTGGGTTAACACCTTTTGAGACTTTAATAAATATAGAATGTTGTATTTGGTATTATGATACTAAATTTCGCGTTTGGTGGTTTATATACTTGTTGCAACTACATCAATTGTGTATGCACTCTACGATGATAAATAACGTCTTTTTCTTTTCCAAAAGAGATTAATTAGCAACAGTTGATGAGATGACTAGTGGGTTGTATGTTTTATAGCTGTTGTTACAAAGTGTGCTGTTTCATGCTTTACCAAAATTACCCTATACTTTCTAAAATTGATTTCTTACCCATATTACTTAATGAATTTTAAATCTGACTTGTTACCGAAATTAATCAATATTAAAAAAAAAATCAGACTGATTGCCACAACTGTCTATCCCTTCTCATTATTCTATAAACCGACTAATGCAGTGTCAGCGTGGTTTACCTA